ATAGCGTCCACTTAATCTTATACTTACCCTAAGAAATTCAAGAAAACAAATCCACCAAAACCTAAGGGGATGTCCTTCTTAAGAGTAAAAACCTTTATTTGTAGAGAAACAAAAACACAAACCAAGACCTAAAAACACACAACAAAACCAAAAACTCACTTATGATTCAATGCTTCCTTATTAAAACTACACAAAATTAGTTAGGAAAATAAAAAAAAAAACAAAAAAGTTAAAAGAAAACAATGCAAGAAAATAGCCAAGAAGCATAAAATGCTATCCTAACAAAAATTGAGAAAATTCAGGAAAGCTCTAAGCTAGAAAGAGATGCTCTCACTTTTAGAAGAGAGAAAGTTTCACCACACTAAAAATATCTTTTAGTTGGAATAGCAAAATTGAAAACAATTCTTTTAAATTATGAAATAAAAGTAAGAATATTTAAAACACTCAAAAACATCACATAAGAATAATTTTATTAATTTGACAAAATGTGAACTGATAAATTAAATTAATAAATTGAATAAAAGTTACTGTACAATCACACAATTTTAAGTACCTATTAAATTTCTCAAGTTTTTCCGTTTCGTAGACATAAGGCTTGATTATAAAAGTTGCCATTATGAGAAGTCTATTATCTTTAAATTGTTGTAAGGGTAGCAACAAACTCTATCCTATAACAAAGAAGAAGAAATTTGAGTAAGACAGTTCTAAGAAATTTCTTTAAAATAATAGTTTTCTCATTATAGTTCAAATAGACTCTTGAAAATATTATCTTTAAGATATAATACCCAAATGAAGAAGAATAAAATTGCATTTTAAATTCTTCTTAAACTTACATGAACCAAAAAAAAAAGAGTGATAGAGAGAATGTTTTGGTTTTTGAGTGATTTTGAATGAAAAATTATGTAAAGTTGAGGTATGTAAATGTTTATTGAGTATTTATAAGTCTCAACCAGTGTTTGTGTTGGGATAACCACCCACAATGGGTGGGTATAGTCTCACGAAATCAATTGCTTTGGGTAGTTTATTTTTTGGCATGAAATTGCCTTAGGTAATTTACAATAAACATGAAAATGCTGCCCATTTTAAAAGAAGAACATTATTATGGCATTTGGCCGTTAACAAGTGTAGGAAAATTTTTCTTACAAAAAAAAAAAAAAAAAAAGAAAAGAAATTGAGAAAAGGAGAGAGAGATCGGGCAAGCATTATACAATTCTCAAAAAAAATTCTTGCTTTGGTGTATAAAAGAACTTATGCCGTAAAAATAAATAATTTTCATATTGTGATCTTTTTTAATGATTAATAATTTAAGTCAAATTTTCATTTTTATTTTAATTAAACAAATAAATATATATAATTTTATTCGTGAATATATATATATATATTGTGCATGAATTTATCTTTTAGTTTGAAATACTCTTCCATGAATGAGTACCTCTTAAATGAAGAATTATCACTTTTAAAATTGACCATTATTATGTTCAACGGATATATATCTTTTTTATTTTGTAAGAAAGACATTCAAATATCCGACTAGTGGCATTCGACTGCTCTGAGCTATTTTCAAATAGAATGAAAAAGTATTGTAGGGTAGTCGACCGTTTAAGGCAAATTTTCAAATAGAAAATAAAATTCTGTCGGGCAATCGACTATCATAATTCGACTTTTCATAACCAAATTTCAAATGTAATGTAATTTGGCCGAGGACAGTCATCTGCTTTTCAAGAGAAATCAACTCCTCTTTCTGGTTTCATTAGAATGCTCATTTTATATTTTCATAACTTTATTTATTCAACCCAAACGCATATTACATAATTTTAAAACAATATTTTCTTTAATAATATAGACGTAAAAAACAGCATGCAAAAGGATCATTGGAAAGAACATCATGTTACAACTTTCTTGACATTTTCGCTAAATAGGATTGAGACTATAATAATAGGCAAATTGTTAAGATATAATTTCTTGTGGCTGATGTTGATTTCCTAATTACTAGTATTAATTTGGCAAATATGGCTATCCGGCTGCCACCGGATAGCATGACAAATCCTCTGAAATTGCCTAAATCTCTGTTTGGGCCAGCGAATTAGGCTGGGTAGGTGCTCCTAGGCTTCCACCATTAAAATTTGTGCAAGAGTCATTTTCATATTGATAAATCAGGATCCAAGATCAAAACCACCTAAATTTATTAGGAAAGGTCTTCAACGCCACGTAGCAAAGAACACTCATTTATACAAATTGCTGGCTCTACAGTCTGCTATTATTTAATAAATTCAAGGATTATTTTACTAAATAATATATATATGATTGTGTGGTTGTATTTATTTCAATTAATTGATACATGTTAGTTCAAGTTATGTTACACCAAAATTACAATTGCAACAAATACCACTCCTTAAATCGATTGGTTGAACATTCGTTGTATAGAAAATTGATTTGACTTCCAATTTGGTTTTTAAAACATTAATTCTACCACTTCAATGTCGCGAACTAAATAGTGCTCTTTGTATTTTATTTTATTTTATTTTATTTTTCCCTTAAAAAATTACTTTAAAGTTTTGGAATATAATTATTTATTAATTTATGTTTACATTGATAATTTACTGGTTTGCGGTAAAAGAAAAAGAAAATGGTAGTTTTCTTTTTTATATTTTTATATTAAAATTATCAAAATTTAAATCATAATTATTAAAATTAAAAGTCTAATACTATATTAATAAATCACTTAATTGTTGACAGAAACGTAAATAATAATTTTTCATTAAAATATAAAATAAATTATAAAATTTTAAAAAATTATCAAATATACTGTCATTGTAAGTTTTTAATTTCATAAATGAAAGTAATAAGGTGAGACATATTTTTAAACTATATTTAAAAAATTAAAAAAAAAAAAAAGAGATACATGTCACTATATTAATCCTTCTCACAACATTAAAAAACTTTCCTCACAATATATCAAACAATTTCTCTAATATTTAATCCTAGCTAGGCTGCCGTTTAAGGTTCTATTAATGAATGAAAGAAAGAACGATTACAATGGGACATCAACTCGTCCCACAGAATCTACACAAGACATTTAGTTGTTTCCTAGAAATCCAACTCATCGTCTTTCCCAATTCCTTTGATCATACAGAAACACATGCTTACGCGTGCATGAATGAATAAAACATAAATGTAAATCAAGAGACAAATTTTTTGTTTTTTTTTTATCGTTGTTGATGGTGTTTTGATTAAGCGACGGATTTCCCAAGCTGAATGATGAGCATCTCAGAAACCGAATATGTGAAACAGAAAAAACATGCTCGGAGAAAACAAGGAGAATATTCCATAGTATGAACACTGAGGTTTGTCGTCTTCTTATTGAGACTACAGGAATCTCTCCGTGTTTAAATTCGAGCATGATCTCAGCGGATTTCAAGTGTGAAGATACGGCTTCTTCAGCTTTGATTAGCTTTACCTTTGACGCTTTCTGTATTAGTATTTTATCCTCGTGTTTTCGCCATTTGGCCACTTCAGCTCCAAAGGTTTGATACCTTCTTCTAAACTTGCTACTTCCTTTGTGTTATTTTCAGTTTGGTTTCTAGTTTCTGATTGGAATATATACAATAAAATTAGTAAAAGACCAATGTGTTTGTTTTTGTTGCTGGCGTCCTAAGCTTGGAAATAAAAAAGAAGTGAAGGGTTATAAGAAAGAAGAATGTGTGACATGGTTAGTGGTTTTAGGAAATTAAGGAAAAATCTATGACTTTGGGATGTCTACAAGGTTCGGTTTCTTAGCTTGTGGTGGTATTGTCATGGCGTTACAGGGGTGGTTCGGAGTTGTTCATGCCAGTATGGAAACGCATCATGCATACTCTGTATTCTTTTTTTTTTTTTTCGTTGGTGTGTGTGTAAGGACTGCTTCCATGGAAGTTTTCAATCACACATGCTTTCCAATCATACAAGATAGTCTCTTATTGTTTTTGTTAAGGCATTTTTGTTTTGAGTCCAACTTTTTGCTCCCATTTGGCTTCGTGTTACATTTGCCAGAGGTGGATCCACTCTTTCAAGCCCAAAGTTTGGAAAATAGGAAATTTTGAATTAAAATTTTGCTCCGACATCCCCAAATTTTCTCAGAGACACTCTTTCTATTGATAAAATTGGTAATTCCATCTGTAGTTTTTTTGTTTATATTATAAGTGAACACTCGGAAAAATCCTAGATCCGCCACCTACATATGCTGTACTAAGAAAATATCTTTCTGCCTAGGCACAAAATTGTGGTTTGAACAACTTCATGAAAACAGATTTTGGTGTTTGATTTGTTTTAAAGCACTGTCCCTTTTCGTTGAGATGCTTTACATAACCAGGCAGCAGTATTTGTTAAAGTAAATTGATTAATGCTCTAAATAGGTGGTAGCAATGAACCTAGTTACCATCAGGTTTTATTGCACATTGTATTTTCTTCATCATAAATTTCTATTACGCAACTTTTCCCCGTCCCTGCAAATGCTTAAGAGCTACAATTTATTTATTTATTTATTTGGCAAAGAGAGAAGAATTGTCATCTCAACTATGTTTTCAATTTCTGTAGTCCCTCTGAATCCTGTAGTGTGTGGATTTTTGAGGTTATAAAGGCCTCAATTATTTAGCAGAATAGACAAGAAGGTGCATGAAAGCATTCGTTTCCACCCTCAAGTTTCAATTGTTATTCTTCCAAGTTTAGGAATTTATTTGACATATCCTTGCACTGTGGTTCTCTGCAGAAGTTGGAAATTATCAATATATGGAAGCTGTACAAGAATTGTTTCTTGAATTTAACAGTCACTGATCGTAAAAGGTCTGAACTTGTCGAAAATGGACCAAGGAAAATCATTAGAAGATCAATTCGACAAGCTGCATCCATGCCTCCCAGTAAACACAAGTATTGGGATCATAGGAGCTGGTCCTAGTGGCATATCTGCTGCCTATGCTTTAATCAAGCTTGGTTATAATAATGTAACCATATTAGAGAAGTATCATACAGTAGGTGGAATGTGTGAATCGGTTGAACTAGAAGGTACAAAATGGACTAAAATGAGTTTTTTTTTCTTTTTGTTTTTCAGTTTAAGGCCCTGTATGATATATATTTGTGCCATATGTGAACATGCAGGAAAAGTCTATGATTTAGGTGGCCAAGTTGTCGCAGCAAACAGTGCACCAGTGATATTTCACATGGCAAAAGAGATCGGGTCTGAATTGGAAGAAATGGACTCCCACAAGCTTGCCCTTATTGACAGTTCTACAGGGAAGTATCAGGAGATTAAAGTTGCCGATGATTATGTCTCTATGGTCGCACTGACTTTAGAACTTCAGGTCAGTTGCCGCTATCATTGTTGTATCCAGACTTTTAAGTCAGGAGTCAGTTTAAGAATCCATTTTACTTTTCACAGGACAAAGCGAAGGATTCAAATCGAATTGGTGTACATGCTGTGAGCGACTTAGCTGCAGACTTAACGCCAACTTATCTCGAGGGTCATGGATTTAAATCTGTTCCACAATCTCTAGCTTATGGATACACTGCTTCTAGAGTTCTAGTTATGGATTCGTTCAAGACATGCCTTATGCCTACATTCATGAGTTCACCAGAACTTCAATGGCCGGAAAAATACGACGTTTTAAAGGTGGATACACAAGTTTTTGGGAGAAGATCAGTAAATCTCTTCCAGTTAAAGTCCTTTGTAACAGTGAAGTATTGGCTGTAAGACGTAATGCTCTTGGTGTCAGTATTGAGGTGAAAAGCATTAAAGGGGATTCTGAAGTTATGGAGTTTGATAAGATTATCATGTCAGGTGCCTTTCCTTTCAAGAATGGGAAGACATATAGATCACCAGTTTCAAATCCTACAGGTTTGTCTACTTTTTCTCTCGCACTCTTTTCTCTTCTTTTTCAGCCATTCCCCAAGATGCTCGACCAGGGACTTTTCTTTTTTTGACACAGAAAATGAAACCGAAGTAATGGATTTGAATGATGTTGAAAAGGAGCTGTTCAGTAAAGTAATGACAATTGACTACTACACTACAGTCTTGAAAATAAAAGGAATAGAAGATATGCCTGTTGGTTTTTATTACTTTGGCGAATATATGGACGATCCCGCAACAATTGGATATCCTGTTGCAATGCAGAGATTCTTTGCTGATGCTGACATTTTCTTGTTCTGGTCATATGGCAACTCCCTGGATATTCAAGGAGCAACTGTCTGTGAGCTTGCAATAAAAGCAGTTGAAACCATGGGAGGAGAAGTTGAGCAGGTGGTCTTGCAACGACGATTTAAGTATTTCCCTCATGTTTCTAGTGAAGGTAGTATGCTAAACCAGCTGTTGCTAGATCACTGAAATATGCCAGATGGATGCTGATATTTTAATTTTGCTACAGATATGAAGAATGGTTTCTATGAGCGCTTTGAGTCTGAACTTCAAGGTCAGAGGAATACTTACTATGTTGGTGGGCTTATGGCATTTGAGCTTACAGAGAGGAATTCTTTCTATGCAATGGCCCTAATCTGCAAGCACTTTGCAAATAACAATCCTTCACCAGTATTTCCATATGTTAAGGTAATATACATTGTTATTTGCTTCTAAAATTTTTTCTTAAAATCAATGATCCAAAGAGAACTTCACTTATAATGTATTTTTTGCAGAATTTATTTCCATTGCAATCAGATTGTGGGAATAGGAATCCCAAAGAATTAGGTGAACATTCTGGAGTGGAATTCCCTAATCTGTCTACACTTGATGGCTATTTGAAGCACTGGGGAACTCATGGAATCACTCAAAGCAAAATACTTTATACTTGGATCAATGAAGACGGGGCAGCAGTAGGCCAAAGGACATATGCAGAACTTCATGCTAATGCATCTTTTATAGCTCAAAAGATCTTGACGAGCAGAAAACCGGTCATCAAGCCTGGTGACAGGGTTCTACTAGTCTATGTTCCAGGTCTGGACTTCATTGATGCATTTTTTGGTTGCTTAAGAGCAAAGGTGTTACCAGTTCCAGTTCTTCCTCCAGATCCTCTACAAAGAAGCGGACAAGCACTTTTGAAGATTGAAAATATTGCCAAATCATGTGGAGCAGTGGCAATTTTATCAACTATTGTCTATCACTCTGCAGTTCGGGCTGGTTTGGTGAAGAATCTTATCTCATTGATAAGGAAGATTGACAAATCTTCTACGAAATGGCATAACCTTGATTGGTTGCACACAGATTCATGGATCAAGAACTTCAAGAAAGTACTTCCAAATGACACAGTTGATCAATGCGAACCTCAGCCAAATGATCTATGCTTTCTGCAATTCACATCTGGGTCCACTGGTGATGCTAAAGGGGTTATGATTACTCATGGTGGGCTCGTTCATAATGTGAAGTTGATGCGTCGGAGATACAAGAGCACCTCAAAGACAGTTTTAGTCAGTTGGCTTCCTCAATACCATGACATGGGGCTAATTGGGGGACTCTTTACTACTATGGTTAGTGGTGGATCGGCAATACTCTTTTCCCCAATTACATTCATCAGAAACCCCCTTACGTGGCTTCAGACCATAAGCAAATACCACGCAACTCACAGTGCTGGACCCAATTTTGCTTTTGAGCTAGTGGTTCGAAGACTAGAGTCTGACAAGGATAAGGTTTGGAACTATGACCTTTCTTCCCTTATTTTCCTAATGGTTGCTGCTGAACCAGTAAGGCAGAGAACTCTGAAAAGATTTATTGAGCTCACTCATCCGTTTGGCCTTTCTCAAGAGGTGATGGCACCTGGTTATGGCTTGGCTGAAAATTGTGTCTTTGTCAGTTGTGCAAATGGAGAAGGGAAGCCCATCTTGGTTGATTGGGAGCGAAGAGTTTGTTGTGGTTATGTTGATCCAGACAATCAAGATGTTGACATCCAAATAATTGATCCAGAGACTGGTTTAGAGCTTGAAGAAGCAGGCAAAGAAGGAGAGATATGGATTAGTAGTCCAAGTTCCGGCATTGGGTATTGGGGTAGGGAGGAATATAGCCATCAAACTTTTAGAAATGAGCTTAAAAATCACTCTGGAAGAAAATACACTAGAACTGGAGACTTGGGACGAATAATTGATGGGAAGTTGTTTATCACTGGAAGAATCAAGGATCTAATAATTGTAGCAGCAAGAAATATTTACTCAGCGGATGTAGAAAAGACGGTTGAGAGCTCATCCAAACTTTTACGGCCTGGTTGTTGTGCTGTCATTGGTGTTCCAGAGGAAGTCCTGTCAGAGAAAGGAATTTCAGTTCCAGATGGTTCTGACCATGTTGGCCTTGTTGTAATTGCAGAAGTTAGAGATGGAAAACCTGTCGATAAGGACGTCATTGAACAAATCAAAACACGTGTTACAGAAGAACATGGTGTTAATGTAGCTGCCATAAAACTGATCAAGCCCAAGACTATTTGTAAAACAACATCAGGAAAGATCAAGAGATTTGAATGCTTTAAACAATTTACAGAGGGAACTTTGAACGTAGTCCCAGAACCAGTCTTTTCAAAGAGAGTTTTGGTCCGTTCATTCACTACTGGGACTTGTGCAGAAGGAAGAATACCTCGTCAGCTTCTGAGTTCTCCTTTACCGAGTCCAAGATTGAGAAATAAGGACATCGTAGAATTTCTGAAAGGCCTGGTCTCTGAGCTAACCGGGATCCCCACCAAGAATATTTCTGCCACTGAGAGCCTTGTCTCATATGGAATTGATTCAATTGGAGTTGTTGGAGCAGCTCAAAAACTTTCAGATTTTCTAGGCGTGCCAGTTGGAGCAGTGGATATCTTCACTGCAACCTGCATTGCAGACTTGGCAAACTTCTCAGAGAATCTCGTAGCGAGGTCTAAACCTGAACTTAATACAACTTTATCCCTTCTTCCTGAACCTGATGTCGATTCTGATGAGTTTCTTGTGGAAGTATCCATATATCGCCAAGCAGGCATCTGGTTTTTACAGTTTCTGGCTCTTATTTTTGTGTCTATCATGTTGAGTGTGCCTGCATATTTATCAGTTTCTGCATTCATGACTTTCACCTCACAGAGCTATACAACAATAGATGGAATTCAGTGGCTGGCTTATTTGATATATTTGGCCTTTGCACCACTTTTTTGGGTCCTCTGCATAGCTTTAACTTGCATATGCATTGCTCTCTTTGGAAATCCTTTCTTGAGACCAAACTATGCCCTCATTCATGACATTTCCATTTGGTCAATTGATTTTGTTAAGTGGTGGGCACTTTACAAGGTACAACAAATAGCTTCAAAAGTTCTTGCAGAGCATCTGAGAGGAACAGTGTTTTTAAATTACTGGTTTGAGATGCTTGGAGCAAGAATTGGGTCATCAGTTTTGCTAGATACCGTTGACATTACAGACCCATCTTTAGTTGCAATTGGGGATGGAGCTGTGGTCGCAGAAGGGGCACTAATTCAAAGCCATGAAGTGAAGAATGGAATACTGAGCTTGCAGTCCATTAGAATTGGCCGGAATTCATCAGTTGGACCTTATGCAGTGATCCAAAAGGGAAGTGTATTGGGAGAAGAAGCTGAAGTATTGCCTCTGCAAAAGAGTGAAGGAGGCACACCTGTCATCAGATCGGCCAAGGCTAACAGTGTTCAAAAAGTAAGTACTTTGCACTTTCTAATCTCTGGGTTTATGTTTCTAATAGAAAATAGCATAGCTCATGATCATATATTATGGTCTATCATGGTTTCAGGGTACAGAGCTGTCAAATGCTACGCCAAATAAGACAATGTCCCACTTCATTGGCATCTACCTGGTCGGTTTCCTCGGCAGTTTCTCCGCAGCCATTTTCTACTTTCTATACATTTGGCTCTCTAAAAGTCCCCCTTCTCTTCAACACTTCGCCTTTGTTTGCATATCGGGAGCCTTACATTGGATTCCTTTCACACTTATTGCATATGTTACCATGTTTTCTAGCGTCACTTTGAATCCAGCAAGCCTTGCCATCTCAGTTGCCATAACTTACTTAGCTCATGGCCTAACACTCAGTTTCCTTACATGCACTTTGACCCGTCTTCTTACTGAGAAAGAACAGTCAAAGCCATCTCATATCAAGATATTCCTTAGGCACCGAATTACCATTGCCTGCCACCTTAGATTTGCCAAGCTTCTCTCCGGAACAGAAGCTTTTTGTGTGTACTTACAGCTTTTGGGTGCAAAGGTTGGGCTGCATTGTTCAATCAGAGCTATCAACCCAGTTTCAGAACCGGAGCTGGTCAAAATCGGTGCTGGTGTTCATCTTGGTGACTTTAGCAGAATCATCACTGGATTCTACTCCCGCAGTGGTTTTATTCGCAGGAAAGTTGAGGTGCAAGATAATTCAGTTGTCGGGAGTCAAAGCCTAGTCCTCCCTGGCTCATTAATTGAAAAGAATGTAATTCTTGGTGCACTTTCAGTGGCACCAGAAAACTCAGTCCTACAAAGAGGTGGTGTTTATGTTGGATCTCATACTCCAATCATGTCCAAGAACACCCAGCATGCTTTGGATGACCGAATAGAAGAAATGGACATGAAATATAAGAAAATAGTAGGAAATCTTGCTGCAAGTTTAGCTGCTACTACTTTGAAGGTTAAATCAAGATATTTTCATCGAATTGGTGTAGGAGGGAATGGCATCTTGAAGATATATGACAAGATTGAAGGCTTTCCAAATCACAACATTTTCCATCCTGGAAAGTCCTATCGTGTCGTAGTTAGACATAGCAATAGCTTGAGTGCTGATGATGATGCAAGGATAGATGCTCGAGGTGCTGCAGTGAGAATACTTTCAGATGAGGTTGATAACACCCCACTTCTTGACTTGACACTTAAAACTGGAAAGGCGTTCTACGCACGGACTATAGCCGATTTTGCAACATGGCTTGTGTGTGGACTTGCTGCGAGAGAAGAGCATGTGAAGCGAGTCCCACATGTCCGCGATGCAGTGTGGATGTCCCTTCGCCAAGCTAACTCATATGCAGAGCTGCATTACTACTCAAATTTTGTTAGGCTTCTTCGGTTCTCAGGCGGAGAGGAAAGGTATGTGAAATTCAAGTTGAGACCTTATGATGAGAGTATTAATGAGGATTCTGGTAAGGTGGAACCTACTGGGATTCTCCCACCAGAAACAGGTGCAATTCCAAGGGATGAAGAAGACACCCGGCCCTTACTTTTCCTTGCAGAAGATTTCCAGCGCCGCGTAAAGTCTGGGGGTGTTCGCTACATCTTCCAACTACAAATCCGGCCAGTTCCACAGGATGAAGCCACACGTGACACTGCACTTGACTGCACTAAACCATGGGATGAGATTGAGTTCCCATATATCAATGTGGGTGAGATTAATATTCAACAAAATCTCACCATGGAAGAAGCAGAAGCGCTAAAGTTTAATCCTTTTGTCAGATGCCATGAGGTAGATGTCATCCGAGCTTCAACATCCTCTCAGAGTGCTTCTATTGATCATGGTCGTTCTCTTATCTATGAGATTTGCCAGCGCTTGCGAAATAAGGAAACGCTTCCTGAGGCCTGGAGAATCTTCCTGGAACAATCTGACGTAAAAGTAAACCTTTCAGGCTGTCCAACGGCGGCAGTATTAGAGAAAAAGGACACAGGGAAAGTGACCGTTGAAAGAAAATGGTATCAAACCTCATGGGCAATTTTTGTTCAACCATTATTACAAACTGTGCTTCCTTATTTCCTTCTGGGATTAGCAGTCTCTGCACCTTTAAGTTGTGTTCTTCACATAAAGGAGTCAAAAATAATCCCACTGCATTGGTTGCTTCCAATGCTTTGGGTTTCTTCAGGACTTGTAGCTGCATCAACTTGTGTTGTGGCCAAATGGGTTCTTGTGGGAAAGAAGAATGAAGGTGAAACCGTACAGATTTGGAGTAAAAGGGTCTTCGCGGACACCATCTGGCAAGCTTTTAGAACACTGGTTGAGGATTATTTCATGGCAATGACTAGTGGGTCTATTTTATATGTGCTATGGATGAAGTTAATGGGCTCAGTTATTGAACTGGACCAAGGGATTTACGTGGATAGCATGGGAGCTTTATTGAATCCTGAAATGGTGGAGATTGACAGAGGAGGATGTGTAGGAAGACAGGTTCTGCTGTTTGGACACATATATGAAGGTGAAAATGGCATAGTTAAGTTTGGGAAAATCAGAATTGGAGAAGGCGGGTTTATAGGAAGCAGAGCAGTGGTTATGCCTGGGGTCAGAGTGGAGAGTGGAGGGAGTCTAAGTGCTGTCTCCCTTGCCATGAAAGAAGAGATTGTTAAGTCAAGATAGGTGGCTAATTGTCACTTTGTTTTATGACACAAGCAATTCACCTTCTCAGCCTATAATGTAATCCAAATTCGCTGGTCTTATCAATAAATCACCAGCTCAATCCAAATTTAGGAAGATAATTCATATATAAAACACTCTCTCTCTTGAGCTCTTCTGAAAAAATCAGAACATAAAACAGTTCTGCCTACTAATTAAATCTTAAAAAGCCTAATACAAATAGTTTACACAGTATATCTGCAGATATAGTAAAATGAATAATAAATCTTTTCATTTCCAGAGACTCATTGCCTTCACTTTTCAACAAAATGAGATTTGTCATCCAAAACTGGCATCAACCAACCATATTTTCTTTACAACTCTTCAAACATACTGAAAAAACAAATCACTAACACATTAGAGGCAAGAGCTATTATCAAGCAAGACCAATGAGCAGCCTGATCATTTTTTATTCTTGATCCACGCAGCCTGATAATTATTTCATTATACATGAAAATTAGTTGAATAAATGTACACAATTCAGATTCAAAATACTCAGAATGATCCGACCAGCATCACTCCTTCACCCTAAACCAAGCTTAAATCTCACACTACCGCATTTCTTTTAAGGACAAATCACTAATTACAACAACTAATTAAATTAACATACACACCAAAAAAAAAAAATCTAATTAGATAAAATCATAAAGGATTACGACTACCTGCCAGCTGCAACCAGCTTTCAATTTGGAAAAGATGGGCAGTGATGTAAAGAAGTTTGTACGATATTCAGTTAACCAGCATGTGATCGAATCCTCCACCAGCCTGAAGAGTTGGCACCCGATTCACCCCAACATTGTGAAGCAACTGCTGCTGCCACCTCCTAGTGGTTTGATCTTCCTAGAAGCATGAACAAAGTGGATGAGACAAAAAAAAAGCAGATGCCTCAGAAAAGATAAGCTTTCTATTAAAAATTGAATAAATTTCTCTTCCAGTTCCAGAAAACATGTACAGACATCATTTCTCCAATAATAATAGTTAAAATGGAATGGATTTAAATAACCTAACGAAATAATGGCCAACTACCAATGGTCACCAATAAGCACAACTCATTCAACTTAATCCAGCCTTTATCTAAAACAACCTATGTCAGCAATATGAATTTTTTCTTCATAAAATCCTGAAGCATATCAAACATAACAAAACAAAGACTCCAAACTCTCAGCAAATATGTGAACAAGTAAAGATCAACTTCAACTAGGTCAAGAAAAAGGTATATTTTACTAATAAATATATATTCATAACTCTTCATTTTATAGTAACTGAAATATGTACAAAGAATAGGGATCCGTAACTTCCATATTATTAGTATTTTTCTTTTGAGTACATTATTATTATTAGCATTTAACTAAACCACTAGTTGAACAAAATATTCTATTTTTATCTTTCAATTCAAATGATACAAAATGATTGCTGAAAATGTTTACAGTAAATGCTTTTTGGATTTCAAAGAGATAGCCATAACCATACCAGACCAGTCAAGAAGGAAAGAAGAAGAAGAGCTGGCAAAAACAAAGGGAAAAAAGGAAAAGAACAGAAAAAATTGAATATTTTCCCAAATTAGACAAAAATAATAGGAGCAATATTTAATTTTTCACTTTAACTTTTCTCTATGAAACACCATGTGGCTGCCAGCAAAGCATTACAAATGCCAAATGGCTGCAAAAGAAGCATAACTAGTAGGAATTAGTGTCTAGTTGCTTTAGTGGACTATTACACACATCTCTATTAAAGATTATGCATCTAAATAGAATTATATAGGCTTATTGAATGCAATAAAGATGATGAATTACATTTTTGGCAGAATTTCCAAGGACATTTTTAGGTATTATCCCATGTTGATAAATGAATTCACGTATGGAATTGGCTAACTATAACCCTTCTCAGCAGGACTCTTCAAGATAAAATACAATATGAATAACTGGATTTAATTATAGCCAAAACTAAAAAAAAAAAGAAATATGAATTAAACATCTGTACTTACACGAAGACAAGTACTAAAGGTGGCATCTCGTAACATATCTGGAAGGCAACTTGTTAGCGCATCACAAGCCCTGTATTACGAAGGAAAGCCCAAAAACATGTCAACGTTATGCATAAACCTCAGAAATAAAACTATGGAAAAGCAAAGAAAAGAGGGTGAACTTAGAGCCAAAAATTGACAAGTGACCCCATGATCAACTTCATTAACGAACCTTGGGTTATCAGACAATCGAAGATAACATCGAATAATATGTTTTAATAGTCGTGAAGAGGGTTGCTCAGCAAGTGCTGCAACCATATTTCCTAAAACTCGACCAACTGCAAAAAACCGCTCTGCAGTAGTGCAAATATAGTCCAAGCCAACATCATCTAATAGAATCTTCTGAACTATAAAAGTGGCAACCTGCCATCAAACAATCATTTGTCACAAACCAAGGAAACAAGAACCTTATACATAATGCAATGAATTCGGGACAACCACTTATTAAGTATGACAGAATCAACTCTAATGGTGAGGTACAACAGCTGTCAAGTGCACATCAATTTCAGATTTTTCGTAGTTCACCAAAGTTGGGTGTATGAAGCCCCACACTATAACATACTATAGCTCAAGTGAACATAGAAGCTAATAAAATTTCTACAAAAAGGGGTGGGGATAGGAGTTGGAACTTCTGCAAATTGGATCTCATTACCACATTTATTAGCTGGCATATGACCAAACCCTATGAAAAGTAAACAACAGAATGAGAACATGTCCCTTTTGAACTAGTCATGTTAGACAAGACTCAGCAACCACATAAGAAGCAAAACATCTAAAACCCTTACCATACCAATTTCTTAATGAGAAGAGAGTTGGCAACATTTGTAAAGCAAAGTTGGTGCTCTTGACTAACTTAAAAGACCTCCAGGAGATTGAAAAAAAAAAAAGGGAGGGGCCATCAGCTAGAAATAGCAAAACCCAACCCAACCCAACCCAAATCCCAGAACAACCTAATCTTCAGAACTCAACAGCCTAAACCTAAACCCAAATCCAATACCCACTTATAGTAGATTAACAGTGGCAAGACATGAATCAAACCTGATGCAATACAAACTCCTTCAAATTGAAATGATTCCACCCAAAACCTGACTTAACCCACCCACCGACCACCTCTGGCATCACCTAATGGTGGTTTCACTAACAAAATATGGCACAAGCATAAGCCTCCAAGGCATGCTATCTCAACCCCAAATTGACTTGAAATATAGAGTGAATGACAAGACACGCTTCAAGATGCTAAGGAACAATAAAAATATATATTCTAATTTACTTTACAGTTATATAATGTAAGCAAAGTTGAAACATTGCATGTGCTCACTATCAGGTGTGCACAGGCAGGTCTTTGCCTAGTCCAAGTCCAAGAAAAAATTGGAATAGACGGGACTCGAGTGGAGCTTAGATTTTGATGCACAAGCCCTTCCATAAAGTCCAATTTAGTACAAAGCTTACATTAAAAACATATACACTGTTATAAAAAATCTAATAAATCAATATATAAATACATAAAATATACATTAAGTGATAATATTCTTGGCATTGTTATGAAAGTATGTATTCAAGTCTGCCAAAAAATTTAAAATGTGATGTATTTCCAGGCCTGAGCAGGCTGCCAGACATGGGAACCCCCAGGCATGCATGTCGGTTAACACACAATTCCACCCAAATTTCGCTATTTGAATGATAAACATATTTTCAGATGGAATACACAGGAAAACAGAAAAAGTAGATAATTTAGAACAATTGGAAAAGTGAAGTTACAAAATCAACAAACTCAACTGTTTTCGACAGTTCACTGCCCATCTCCATTGTGCGCAGGCATAGTGGGATTATCTCAGTCGAAAGAAGGAAGCTAATAACTTCAGTATCATCAACCTGCAAAAGAAAGAAAGTAAGCTCATTTTATTATTATCTTTAGAATCATTATGCAGACATCTATGAATATTAACAAAGAGATCATTGCTAGTTTGGCTCAAATTTGACTGCTAAAATCTCACTTTCCCACACATTAATTGTTGCAAGCAGCAGATATTACTAAAGAAAACCCAACATACAGAGCATCTATTGTGTGCTCTCAAATTTAAGGGACTGAAATAGAGAAAGAATAGCAAAAGCAATATATGTAATTTACTTTTTTTTATAAATCAATTTACATTTTACAAGTGGAAAGACATTACTAACTACCTAGGAAATAAACGGGACACATCCCTCGGCGATAAAGAGATGTACAACAGCACAAAATATGGGGGGAACTTCCTAGTTCATGTAGTTCACTGAATTAGCTCCTAATAAACATGCAATGGAAAATTCTTACAGGCTAGCTGATTACAGAGTTCAAGTGACATATGAGAAAACCAAATTGAAGACAGGTCTCTAGGATAGATATGGAAGCTTTTTCTTTACACAAATTAGTGCAAGTCTCATTGACCATTAATTTCCAGAGGCTGATATCAAAGTTTATAATCATCTGTTGCAGATCATGGAAAGTCCTTCATCCTATTTACGGCAGTAAGTAAACCACATCTTTGTTTTTCTCTACGTTTCTATCATAGATTTTACACAAGGCCACTTCAATTCTCCCGATGATCATAGACTACTGCTTTGCCTTTAGAATTCTTTCAGACTCTTCTTGGATTACGCATTTCCTTCTAGCATGTTCTAGTTAAATGTATAATGGCATTACAATCCATGAAGATCACATTGCTGGTAACTCGACAACTTAAATCAAAGCAAGAACAAATTACCTTCACCAAGGCACCAATGACACCTAAGCTAGTAAGCCTCAAGTACTCAAAAGGCCTTGATTTACTTGTAGTATTAAGGAAAGGATACAGATACAAGGGTATGTGAGCTGCAAATGGAAAATAATTAGTGAGAGGCGTCAATTAGAACACTTACAACTTTATGTAGGTGATGAAAAGATTATCTGTCATTTATTAATTAAATAGAGGAAGCAAGAAAGTAACATCACTAGTGCATAAAGCCAAAGATATTACTTTGAGAGGAGAGAGAGGGGGTGAAAAGAACACACTAAACACGCAGCAAATGGACTAAGCAACCAAGTAATAATGTGGAAACACCAACACAATGCAACCCTCTACGAACGAGCTATGCACACAGCCCAAAGTCATAGGGGTGCAGAGGAAAGGACTTTTAGTTCAAAGCTACCTAGAAAAGACAATGGCACGAAAGTCCAACATTAATTCAAGCTTTCTGCAATTACAACCTCAAAACAAAGAACAATTAAGAAACCAATTTACTCCCACTGTCAATATTCTTCTCTTTGGAAAAGCTCAAAGACTAAGAAAATGCATTAAATTATAGCTGGCGATTTTTACCCCTACATAAACTGAGTGCGTATAACTCCCTTTTGTATCATAGTTGTAAAATTTATTAAAAGATGTTGGAATTTTTGCAATAATTACCCTTTGACTTTTGATTGTATACAATTTTTAAGGGGCATCCAAAAATAGAAAATCAGGACAGTTGTTAAAATATTAAGTATATATCAATCCATTTCATTTACTAATCAGCTACTAAATAAATTTTCCAGTAGTCTTTTCACTGGACTTACAGTTGAAATAAAATTTTAATAATTAAGAACCGTAGGGGTCTTTTGCTTTAACACAAAACCATTTTAACAAATAACTACATTAAAAGAAGGATTATTAGATATAAATTATCGGTAGAGTTTTAAACTCCAGAACCAGGGTTAAAGGTTTTCCATATGTCCATTTAAAGTTAAATGATTTATTAATTTTCAAAAATATGTCCATTTAAACTTACTTGTGGAATTTAAAAACTCCATTGCCAGCGTATAGGAGAATTTTTCCAAAGAAAAGAAATGTTATTGTGAAAAAAATACTTCAAGTATCACTTATAATGTTTATTTCACGATCTCAAACTGCTATTCTCCCTACCCAAAGGATATTCAACTTTTATGATTAGCAACAAGAAATCTCAATAGAATGCCTTGTACTCAGGTACTTAGAAGCAATTACAATATGACAACATGGCAATCCTATTTCAGAGGATAATCCATAATTGATCACAAAATGTTCTGATATTCAATGCAACTTCAACAATCAATTAAAAAAAAAAAAAAAAGCAATGCACAGTGAAACCAGTAAATATCCATGTCGTGTTAAGCAACAAGGTACATATCTCAAAACCAAACAAGTATTCTCATCAAATAATGACATACCATTTAGGAATAACATCCTTGTGTCTGGATGAGAAGCTACACACTGTAAGAAAAGATGAAAAATTTATGACGCATTAACAGCGCCTTTGAATTGACCAATAATAAACAAAAATAGTGCAAAACTTTATTTTTTTTCCTCTTCAATGACAATATGAGAAAAAATGTAAAAGAAACTGAAAGGCAACATTAGAGTAATGAGTTACTATTAGTGAAGTAAAAATTCAACATAACAGAAGCACTAGAAAAGGCCAAAAAGATATCACCTGCAGTAGAGCAAGGGCATTACAAACTCGATTTGATTGAGCTGGAGTTAGATTTGGTGGTGAGAGAACAGGATAAATTGAAACTATCTCCTGCAAGTAAAAATGGTTTAGCAATAATGAATTGAGACAGAATAAGCCCCTAACCATGATAATTTTTCAATTTCCAATTGGTAACTCAATTGATAAAAGAATATATAAGAGAACATCTAGCATGTATAAAGTGGTCATTAGACTCAAAACGACAAGAATCCACTTGTTTGAAAAAAATTAATGATTTAAAATGTTTCCATATGTATGATAAAAGTGTAAAATAAACTAAAAATTCAATTTACATCAGATATACCCTTATTTTGAAGTAAAATTTGACTTATGGTTTTTTTCCCAATAAGTCATCTCTCACTAGCCCAAAAGTAATAAAACCTTCTAATAAACTACTTCTTCTACCGTTTCCTATCCCCTTTCTTATCGCGTAGGTCATAAAAGGAGGGAATATTTTGCAAATTGAGTTAAAATGAATTTATATGGAATAATGCACACATCATAATGAAGTTGCAAAAGATAAAAATTTCACATACCACAAACAACTAAAAAAAGAAGAAAGGAACTCGTGGTTTTATGTTTACAAAGAAAATGTTGAACATTGTAAAATCTCTAAGAACAAACAAAACCCAAGTCAAATACGGAAACACTCAAAGAGTACACTAGCACATCTGCACTCATCATACAGATGTACAATCTCCATGGATCTGGTAAAACAAAGTGCATGTTAATCAAGATGAATAGGAATGTTACCTAACTAACAACATATACATACCATCTTTTTCATATTCTAGTTTTGAAGAGATAATACCATTATATTTCACTTTAACTTCAAATAATATTTAGCTGCCTATCCTCATTTTGATTGATGTTCATGCCCAAGCTTACAGTGCTAGCTTACACCAGCAAAAACATGAAAGATAACATCTTGCTAAAAGATATGCACCATAAGTAAAGCATAGAAAACAACAGAAGTAGCATCCATAACTCAATTGAAGAAAGATGATCAAATGAACTTACCAAGTTCTCTACCAAGCCTATATGCATTAGACAGTGAATAAGAAATTTAAAAAATCACAGAGAAAGGGAATGGGAAAGGGATGAAAGAGGGGAGTAATTTTGAACTACCAACTATAAATAGCATACCTGTAAAAGTGCAGCAATAGTACCAAAAGAATTCCACAACAATGGAGCCAAATCTTGAAACAATTCTCTCTTCTAAAAATAAAAACAAAAACAAGTTTATTAGGCATACCTGTATGAGTGCAGCTATAGTACCAAAAGAATTCCACACGAAAGGAGCCAAATCTTGAAATAATTCCTTGTTCTAAAAAATATACCATAGGTAGACACTAGTTTATAGTAGTAACAGACAAATGCTGAACGGCTAAATTGCATAAACACATACAGAGAAAGAAAAATGAGAGGAGATTAAGTTGCAGAGATTAACCTAATAAGGTCTGTGAACAAGAAAAACAACTATTCTGGGTTATTTATCTCACTTTTAGACCTTTACAAATAACACTGAACCTAAATATTTTATTTTTAAAAATGATGAATTCACTTCAATCAACCACCCATATGCCCATATCACTAACTATAGTGAGTGGTTGACTAATTTGCTCCTCTCAAGGTAGGACAAGTATTTCAACCTGAAGATAAAGCAAGCAAATGCGGCTAAATGCAATGCTAAATGCTTTACAATGAAACCAAAACCATTGCATGAGACAATTAACAAGCATAACATGTAAAGGAGAAAAAAGAAAGAGCCAAAGCAATTTTCAGTTGCCAACCCCATTTTATCCTTAGGGAATAAATATGAGAGCGTTACTCTAAGAAAGAACCAAATGCAAAATACATATGATCTCCTTCAAGGCCATTGTTCATTCAAGGAGCTAAACGTAAGAAATGGCGTGCAATGCAACCATAAAAAGGACACTAGTAAACAAGACCGAAAGGCTTAATACAAATAAATAACCCATATAAGTAAAAATTCAAAGATTACTTTTAAAAACAAGAGGACTCGTAAAACTTGATACCATACAAGATAAAGAGTAGATTAGTGAGAAGATTCTAAAATTTTCAAGGCTCTAGATGGACCATTAACACATTCTTAATTCTACCCTCTTCTAGTTCAATCCAAACTTCTAATAATAACCATTCTCGGGAATCTCTTTTTCCCAAAATTAACAATATCATAATTTAATAGTCCTTATCCTCTAGAGCCTGAAAGACACTCTAATTTTCACATCGGTATTCATTTATCAATGACTACTTTGCCAAAACCATGGTAACCACCATTAATATGTATGCCATACCCATTTTCATGAATTTCATTTTCTTTCAGGAAAATAACCCAAAATTTAACAAAAAAACATAACATGTTTACAGGAATTAGTTTCTTCCTATCCACATTTCCATATCTTTTTAATATCTTTTAGAAGTAACACAAATATAAAAAATGGCACCTTTGCATATGGTTTCTATGGGTTTCCTCATCACCTAAAAACAGAAAAAATCAAATCAAATATCCCTCGAATTCCCTATTTAATTTAAACCAAAACCCTACATTATCAAACACATAAAAGAGAAGAAAAAGAACCATCATTTACTCAAATACTATAAAAAGTTAAAAACTTTGTTGATTATATTACCTTAGATAGTTCGAGAAGAGCGTTTTCTCGGAGATCAGGGTTGCTCAGATCGAGAACCAAATGCTCCGCCGATGCCATTTTCCGATCCTTATTCGCCGGAGCTCCGGCGACAATTGGACTCGACGCGCTGGGCCCCCCAAAAGGCGCGTTCATTGGTAAAGATTGAGGCAGATTTACCGTTTGCATATGTTACAGAAAAGGAAAAAATAAAAAGCAAAAACGAATACCTTTCTTGTTGCAGTTTTCTTTTCTTTCAAAATTCTTGCTTCAAATGAGATAATTTTCTTTTTTTTTTGTTTCTATTGAGTTCAGAAAGTAAAAAGAGTTGAAGCCACGTGCATTAGATGCGCGTGAGCGCCTTTGGTGGTCATCCGCGAGGAGTAACAGTTTTTTTTTTTTTTTCCTAATTTTATGTGTTTTTTATTGGAATTTAAAACTGAAAAGGTATTCAACTTTGGCCCTGCAATTGACATGAAATGTGGAATTGAATCCTTGTCCTTTTGTTTCGTTTGAGAGGATTTTTTTCATCAATTTTTTTTATTATTTTTATATAATTATAATTATTTTAATATAAAATAATAAAAATAATTTTAATTCACAGACAACATAGTATGAAAATATTAAAATTAAAAAATATTTATGTCTAATATTTCATATATTGGGACTAAATTTTCATTATTGATTATTTATATTACGTTATGAGCATTGAATTTTTATCAATTATTTGATTAAATATATGGTTTTTAATTTATTGTAAATTAAAAATTTTTATAAAAATATTTAAATTGAAAGAAAAATATAAAATATAATTATAAATTTTGATAAAAAAGTTTTAATTTAGATTTTTTTTTTTCCTGTCTTTTTGTATATTGTTATTATTATTATTATATTTTTAGATTTTATTTTTTATATTATAATAAAAAATGAAAAATTTATTTTGTTTTTTATAAAAATTCAAAACTATAATTTAATATGATTTTTTTTTATTTTCATACAATCAAACCCTAAATTATGAGATCTAAAACGTAATTTTTTGTTGTTGTTGTATATTATAATAAATATTAACAAATAAAAAATTTTTATGTTTTAATAATTTCATTCCTTGCCTTTTCCTTCTCTTTCTCTTTAACTTTCTTTTCTTTCTTTTTGTTCTCTACACAAAGCAAGAAAAAGTTATATGGTAATCAATTGGACAATTCAAATCTAAAATTAAAACTTCCTTCTCCGTATATATAATCATTATATTTTACATTATAAACTTTTAAGGGTATTTAAATTTATTTAAATGAATGAAATGACAATAATATCACTTTAAATATATAAGATAATGATAAAAATCAATTTAATTTGACCAACTCAATATATATACATATATATATATATTTTAAATGATGAGGATTTTCAATTCTCACAAGAATGAGAATGGAAAGGCAATTTCTCATTAAGGTTAGGATGAAAATGAAAAGGGTAAAAAAAAGCGAAGGTCTGTTACGAAAATGCCCTCCTCATGCCAATCCTGTCATATTAACATCCCTAATTCCATTGAAAAATATCGTTTGTTATTTTAATAAGCTCCTTACCATTATATGTTAAAAAATAAAATTTTGCTTGCCAGTATAAGTGGGTTTGCCACACAAATTGACAAATCATGGACTATATTGGCTTGATTGAAGTTTGCAATTACTATACTATATTAGTCAAATTATGTCAAATATTTCTATATTTTGTGAAAATTTGAAATTTGATTTTTATATTATAATTCATATAAATTTGGTTTTTATATTATTTTGATTTAATAATTTTAGTTCAATTATTAATTTTATCATTTTTTTTTACCATTAAAAATGCTAACGTTGTCATTGACTTGAAGGCGTTAACATTGACTTTGCTGATGTGGGGTTGACATGCTAACTTTACAATTAGAATGGATGAAATTAGTTATTAATTTATGCAAATGATCTTTGTACTCATAAATTTAAAAATTTAGCATTTGCACTTGCACGAAATTTTAAATTTAATCCTTCTAATACAAAAAATATTTTGAATTTTTTAGAAATTTTTTAGTTTTTTAAAATATTATGTTAGCCTTAAATTAGTCTTTATTTTGAAATAATAAAATATTAAGCTAAATAAGCTTGATTAAGATTTTGAAAAAGATTTATTTGATACATGTTCTTAAGTTTTATTATTTTTTGTACTAAACAAATAATATGATTTTTAAATTTTAAACAAACATTTATTTATGTTTTCTTATTTCTCAAATCAAAATTATTTTTAACCATTATTTATTTGAACTTAAATAAAAATTCAATTGTTATTTTTAAAATGAACTTATTCATTTTGGACTCAATACAATTTTGATAATATTGATTTTGAGAAATAGATTAACTTAATAAAGTTATTTTATAAAAACAAAGTTTTTCAATATTAAATTTGTTTAATTTTTCTGTATTAATTCAAAAGTTTTAATATTTAAATTTTATATGGTTAGAAAGCTTTTTGAGTCTACTTTTTAATGGATTAAACAAAATCTAAATCTAAATTTTTTAAGAAAAGATTTTAAATTTTTACTAATACTTTATAGTTGTCTAAAAACTACACAATTGGTAGTTTTGAAAATTCATTATAATTCGTATACAATGAATTAGGTGATAAATTTTAAATGGATAGAAAGCTTTTAAATCTATTTCTAAATCTTCAAACGATTTTTTATTTGAAATTGCATAACTCAAAATATGATTAAATTAGTGAAGAGAGTGCAAAATAAGATTCAATTGCCTGGCTTGACTGGATTGATCCCTTGGGTTATAGGATTAATCCTCTGATCAAAACCTATCGATTCTCTCAGTTGTAATGGTAAAAAATGAAATGAAATACATGAACCAATCTATCCCTTCCAAGAAGGAATCAATTTCCTATGCCTAGAAACACTCCAACGACTAGTTTATCAAGCTTTAACAGCTATTTTCAACTTCAAACCATCCCTAAACTACTAGTTCCTCATTTCCTCTATAAATTGGGCATCCCAACACACGAAGAAGGATGATGAATTAAGAAAGCAAGAACCAACAAGCTATATTTTTATTTTCTTAAAGAATTAAGAGTTGTCAAAGCTTAAAAATTCATATCTTTTGTATTTATTGTATCTAAATCATATTTATTATTCATTCATCATTTCCTTCTACTTAAACTTGGCAAACACTTAGCTTTTGAGAGGTGTTTTAAGTTTGTATTTTTATTAAATGATTTTGTAATCAAGAGGTGAGGTATCATTTTAAATTTGTGAGATTAAGAGGTTGCTACTTAGCCTATAAAGTAGAGAGTGTTAGGTTGCTATCTAAGCCTTAAAAAAAGATAGAGTTATAATTTCAATTAAAGAATAGTGGATTGAAGCCTTGGTGTGAACAACCAAGAAGAGAAAACGTAAATGCCCTGTTAATAAGGACCAACATTTATAAATCTTTGTATTTGATTTCTCTATTCCTATCTCTTTACTTTGCATTTGTTTTAAGATTATCAATTTATTGTTATTTGCACCATATTTTGATATTGATCTTAATTTTCAATTCAATTATATTTTGAAATCATTGTTTGGGAAGAACTTAGAAAAATCTAATTCATTATTCTCTTGGATTACCATCTCACCTAAATAGCTAATATATTAAATTTTAAAAATTATCAAATATTTTATCATAATAATCTATCACAATATTGAAAAATCTATCACAATATTCCGTTATAATTTTCATATATTGGCACTAATTCTATCATAAGGGGAAAAAATCTTATACAAATCTATTAAAAATCTATTACAATTTTTTAAATATAATACATATCTGTCACTATCTAATTTTAATCAAACTATTATTTTTATTAATTTATTAAATGAATTAAAATTATAATTTTATCCCATAAGACTAAAATTATTCGTTAAAGGGATAATATCCCATTTGACCCTTGAACTATTACATTTTTCTAATATGGTACCTAAATAAAAAAAATTATAATCTGGTACTTAAACTACATTTTTATGTATTAAACTACCCTAACTATCAACACCGTTAACCCTAAATGCTTATTTGACATGAACATCCAATAAGATGCTAACATATATTAAAAAATCTAATTAGTGTTACATCTTCAATGTCACGTCAATATTCAAAGAAATATTTTAAAAATTTTAAAAAATTCTAAATTTTTTTAAAATGTTTAAAAAATTCAATATAAAAGCTAAACTTTTTATTTAATTTTATTTTTTCCTCCCACTCCACAAAAAAAAAATTCTATCTCAAATAGTAAACAATCAGCCCTTCTTTAACCTCGTTTTCGGCATCAACCACCACTACCTTTGTCGCTCACCACCAGCTTTTAATGTTCATTGGCACCGATTCGTCTTCAAATTTCACTAAAAAGCTTATTTCTTCCTCTTCGTTCTTGCTTTCAAGTTGGTTTTCGCAAAAACGTCATAGATTTTCCTAAATCTAAGCCAAAATCCATAACTATCAATGCCCAAAAGCCCAACCACCGCTCCAAATGACATTTCTTTGAAGTATGTCCTTGACCTAGCCCTAACCTCTATCCTCACAAAAAAAAAAAAAAAACCAAGTTGAAACCCTTAGAAAAGTCTCAAACTGAGACTCATGGCACTCTGTTTTACTATTATGTTTTTTCTTTTCTTGTGTTTTACTTCTGTAATTTTTTTAAGCTGCTTCTCCCTTTTTTAAAGGACATGTTTGACTTTTTTTATGTTTTTTGTGTGCCAAGATGGGGTTGTGTTTTGTTGTAGTGGTAAGGGTGAATAGATGGGGCTTTGGGTTTAGTTGGTAGGTGTTGGGTATGGGGTCAAATGGTGGTGGCTTAAGTATAGAAGGTAGTGGACTGGATTTAAGGGTGGTGGGTGAATTGTCAAACAGTGGTATCTTATAGTGATGTTGATCAAGTGAGGTTGGTGACAAAAGGGGTTTTGGTCGTTGGTGTCGATAGTGGTTAAGGGATTTCGATCATGATGTTGGCAAGGGCTATGGGATTTTTGAATGTTGAGAGCTTTTCAATTTTTTGTGTCTTCCTCTTTAGCCAACCCCTTCTATGGTTTTTCCCAATTAACAATCCAAGTAGTTTAATATATGGATTACCTTCTTTTAAAATTCAGCTTGAGAGAAATGAAAATAAAAAAAAGTCAACCTTTAAAAGGTACCAAGATTTTCAGAGGTGGATGTGGAAAGAATGTTATAATTCCTTTACTTTGTGTGTCATAAAATATGGAAAGAAAAGATGTGTGCAGTTGTTGGTTGTTTGTGATACGTGCTTTGGCTCTCGTATCCTAGAGGAAATGCATTGTGGTTACTACCACCTAGCATTTAGCTCCATTAACAATAGTTTTAAATTCGCATTTAAATTATTTTTAAATCTTCATTTTTTTAATTTTTCAATTTTTTTTAAATTTTTTAGATTTTTTAAAATTTTGATTTTTTTGAATATTTTTAATCTTATTTAAAATTTTAAAATTTTTAAAAATTTTTAAAAACTTTTTAAGAGGTTTAGAATTTAATTTTTTTAATTTAAAAAAATGAATATTTAAAAATTTTTTAGAATTTTTTAGAATTTTTCTTTAAATGCTAACATAATATTAATGATATGACACTAACTGAATTTTTTGACACGTGTCAATATCTTATCGGATGTTCATGTCATATTAGTGTTTAGAGTTATCGATGTTAACAATTGGAGCAGTTTAATATACAAAAATATAGTATAAGTATTAGATTAAGTTTTTTTTATTTAGGTACCACATTAGAAAAAATACAATAGTTTAAGGGTCAAATGGGATATTATCCTATCTTCAATAAGTGTTTCTATTCCTTTAAATTAAATCATATTTAAATGATTTTTTGTAATCAAATATAAGTTCAAGATTCTAAATACATTAAAATAATTTATTAAACTTTATGTGTATTAGTTTTAAAATTAATTTTATTATTTAATTTAACATAACTATATAAATTCCTTTTGCAAAAAATAAAAAAATTAAAAAATTCTTATTATGATATATGATATTGATACTTCGGTTATCAAAAAAGTATTATCTTGTTTCGTTTTATTATGATTCAAACTTTGTACTTCAAATAAATATGAATTCATCTCACATAAGAATTTAGATTTGAATCTCTTATTTTGTTTGATTAGATAGAACAGTCATTTTATTTATAATCTATTTCGAATTCATAACAAATGTAACTTTATTCAATAATTTGGTTAGTTATAAATTTTGTTATATGATATATTTGAACTAATTAAACAAATACTAATTTTGATATTTTAATTTAAATCGTTAATATTATAATTTATTAATATAATGACAATAACAATATTGTTAATATGATATGATATCATTAATAATTAATTATATATAATAAAAAATAATATATTTCTAATTTTTTTATATTAGAGAAACTAAAATATGTTTAAATTTTAATATTTTTAAAAAACTATATTTAAAATATTTTTTATATTAGAGAGACTAAATTTCAAATTTCGTTGAGTATAAAAACCATCTACATAATTTAACAATTAATTTCATTCATCCAAGTTACCACCACTACAAGTTAACACCACATTAGCAAAATCAATATTTTTAACGGCAAAAAAATAATGAAGTTAGTGATTAGACTAAGATTTATTAAATCAAAATTGTATAAGGATTAAATTTATATGAATTACAGTATTTGGTCTAAATTCTAAATTTTCATAAAGTATAAGGACCTTTAGCTAGACTTGTTCAAAGACCAAGTTATTCACCCAAGCCCAAAGATCCACTCAAGTTTTGAGAAGGTTTAGATAAAAAATAAAACCTGTTAAATGGGTTCGGACCTAATTTTTAGGTGTGTTTAAATTTTAGACTGAAACTTGAATAAATATTTAAAACCCAAACTCGGCCTGGTTCGATCCGAATTCACACATGTATATAAATTTTTTATTTTTATATATACATGAATTATATATAAATAAATTTACATATATATAAAAATTAAAAATAAAAATTATATATATTTTATCAAACTTAATTTTTACTTTTATATAATTTTTATTTTTAAATTTTTATATATATTATTTTTATTTTTATTTTATATATATGTAAAATAAATATAATCTCATTAAACTTAATTTAATCACATAATTTTTTAATTTTTTATTATATAAATTAAATTTAATGAGTAGGCTTGAAATTTATTTTTTTAATTTGGGTTAAGTTTGATGCTCGAAATTTCAAGACGGGCTAAATTTAAATAAGTACATAAGTTATTAATATCAAATATGAACTCAATCCAAATCTAGCCCAACCTAACCTATGAACACCCCAATCTCTAGCATAATTTGACTTATTATATTATATAAGTTGATCTTTCTAAATTTGATATAAAAATACTATTTATCTTTATATTTTTTATGCACTTATTTTCTTACATGAAGTGAAAAAATTTATAAATTTTTATTGCATCAAATGGTATAAAAAGTGTTAGACAAGTAACATGACACATTTAATGTAGAACAAAAAGATTTTGATAACTTCACATCCCTTTCCACTAATATTAAAGATTTAAAATTTATTCAATAATAAATATACCATAAATTTGAACTTTTTTTTTCAAAATAAAAAAAAAAGATAAATTTATCTTTTGATTTTTTATTATTAATTTAACTTTAAATCCTTATTCATATATTTATCATACTGAAAAAAAATTACATATAAATTCTTTCAAATATATAATCTTCAAATATCATCTTTAATATCAAGTTAATTAATCCAAATGTCAATTGACATGTTGTTTTAATAATAAATCTGGTTTTCAATTGGTAAATAGATTAGAAAACTTAAAGGAAAGAGAACTTATTATTATTGTTTTTTTAAGTTTCTAAATTACTTATTGGTGTTGAGTTGTTCAACGAGGACATTAATTTGAAATCACAAGTTTGAAGGTTGGTTAAAAACGAAGGTTGGTTAAAAACAATGATCAGAGGTTTCTTCAATGTTTGTATTTAATACTCAAGTCAACAATTAGAGAGAGAAAAAAAAATCTTAAAAAAAAAGATGTAAATTGAATGAATCTGCCTTGTCTGAAAGGGACTATTTATACCTATAGGATGAAAATGTCGAGTTTAGGTGACCTGAATTTTGATTAGCGAGTTTAAGACTAATGTTGTTGACCTAACTTGATCTGATAGATAAAATCTAATTATGGGGGTGACAAGTCATCATTTTCTTATGCCTTCAGGTGAGAAGTTAAGGAGCCTTAGTTAACATGAGTCCCAAGACTTCAGGTTAACTCGACACATTAGCTTAGATCAAAATGAAGAAATTGCCCCTAATACTTTCTGGAGGAAAAAATTTATAATACTTTTAGGTCATATTTAATACATAAGATTATGATAGTATATGATAAAATGATATTATGAATAAGATTAAATTAAATAATATATTCTATCTTATATTTGATGTGTATAAAGATTAAAATAAAATAATTTATTTATTGATCAAAATTATTCTTTCTCAAAATTTATATAACTTAAATTATTGATATAATTTTTAAAAGTATAATAAGACATACAAGTTTAATCTTGTAGATTAAAAGTAATTATCTTTACTTTAAGATGATTAAATCATCTTATGCCAAAAGGATAATAATCTTTTTTATAATCATATTTTTTTTAATTAGATACAAATTAAATATAATATAAAATAATTATTATATTATCTTATATATTATTGTATGTACCAAACATGATTTTATGACATAAAATACCTTTAATATTATCTTTATATCTTTTATCCTATTATTTATTGGATTGAATAAAATATTATGTATCTAAAATTTTTTAAATTCGCAATATTCAAATGTCAATTATATTATCTGATACAAAGATCAAGACGATGAAAAAATAATTCATTAGTAAATAACAAATTAACATTTCCCAAATCTTAATAGTAAAAAAAAAAAAAAGTGAAAAAAAGGCAAGGAAGCAAAATCAATGTATGTGGACGCAGAGCAGGAGATCTGTCCTCCTTAAATGGGTATTCCCTTAGTTGCTCCCGTCCGTTTGGACTCTTTCTGCCTTTGGCCGCCTCTCATCTCTCGCCTTTTCTCTCACTTTTCTGCATTGAAATTCACAATCTTTTCTCAAAGCAGCCAAAACCCAATTTGTCCTTTGTTTTCCGTTTTGCCTTTCTCTTTTTTTCTTCTGTTTTGCAACTCAAAGTTAAAAAGATTTTGATTTTTGACCCGTTTTTGCATGGCTGAATTTGAAGATATTGGAGCTGATATTAGGTAAAGCTTTATATTTTTTTACCCTTCTTCTTCAATAAAAATTAAACCCATGGTTTTATTTTATTCTTTTTTATCAATTATCTATTGAATATTGGACGATTTATGGAGTATTCAATTGGGGTTTTGTTTGATTTTATTATGCTTGTAAGAATTAGGGAAATATTATGGGAGTGCATTTGTTTTAAATATAATTTTGTTCATTTGTTATTATTTTATTTGATTTGGTATAACCCTTATGTTGTTAGAATTAGCAAGTAATTGAGATCAAGATGTATTTTGATTGGATAAATGGATTTTTTGGCAGCTTATATAACATATTGAAATGTTCTCAAATTTTATTGTTTGGTTTGTTAACTTTAAAAAGATAGGAGAGGAAAGGAAATTAAATTAAATTAAAATTGGAAATATTATAGTTCTCTTTTCTTTGGCCAAGTAAACAAAAAATTCAAGTTTTATGCCTAATACAACTGTTTGGACCAGTTTAGGTGAGGGTTTGGTTTATTATAGAAAAAAAAAAAAGGCAATAATTAAGGTTCAAAATTTGATTTTGTCTTCCATTGTTGGATGTTATGATGATTATGGAGCATGTTATGATGGTTGCTGATTTGTTGGATTGACAGCTCGGACATTGAAGTTGATGACTTAAGGTGTGACAATATAGCGGAGAAAGATGTCAGTGATGAAGAGATTGAAGCTGATGAATTGGAGAGACGAATGTGGAAAGATCGTATCAAACTCAAAAGGATTAAGGAAAGACAGAAGATTGCAGCCCAACAGGCTGCAGAAAAGCAAAAGCCCAAGCAGGCCATTGATCAGGCACGGAGGAAGAAAATGTCCAGAGCTCAAGATGGGATTCTTAAGTATATGTTGAAGCTAATGGAAGTCTGCAAAGCACGTGGATTTGTCTATGGCATCATTCCAGAGAAGGGTAAGCCTGTAAGTGGTGCATCAGATAATATAAGAGCTTGGTGGAAAGAAAAGGTGAAGTTTGATAAGAATGGGCCAGCAGCCATAGCCAAGTATGAGGCAGAGTGTTTAGCTATGAGTGAGTCAGATAGCAATAGAAATGGAAACCCAAAAAGCAGTCTCCAAGACCTGCAAGATGCTACTCTTGGATCCCTCTTGTCTTCTTTGATGCAGCACTGTGATCCCCCTCAGAGAAAGTATCCACTTGAAAAGAGAATTCCTCCACCTTGGTGGCCAACTGGGAATGAAGAGTGGTGGGTAAAACTAGGGTTACAACAGGGTCAAAGTCCTCCTTATAAGAAGCCACATGATCTGAAAAAGATATGGAAAGTTGGAGTGTTAAGAGCTGTGATAAAGCACATGTCACCTGATATTGCAAAGATTCGGAGGCATGTACGCCAGTCAAAATGTTTACAAGATAAGATGACAGCAAAGGAGAGTGCAATTTGGTTGGCAGTTTTGGGCCGAGAGGAAGCTCTGATTCAGCAACCTAGCAGTGATAATGGAACATCCAGCATAACTGAAATACCCCGACGTGGTCGTGGTGATAAAAAGAAACCTTTTGCCGGTAGTGACAGTGATTATGATGTTGATGGTGTTGATGATGGAGCAGGTTCAGTTTCTTCCAAAGATGACAGGAGTAATCACCCAACAGATGTGGAGCCTGTGGTTTATATCAGCAATGATGATTCCCATCCAGTGCAAGAGAATCTGCCAGTGGAAAAACAACCTAGGCTGAAAAGACCTCGTTTAATACCAAGCCATGGTGATCAACAACCTGGACCATCTCATGATGAACATGTGAATGACAAGTCAAGAAGCACCCTGCTTGACATCAACCAAACTGATGTATCATTTCTGGAACATCAGATGCCTAGCACTCGGCAGGAAAATGATGCAAGCAAAGTGTTGAGGAATGTGGAGAACGGTTTAGATGTTCAATCACATCCACCTGCAACTGAATACTGCCATTATCCTGCCATTCCTTGTGCTAGTGAAATTTCCACTCAGAGCATGTATGTAGATGGACGGCCAATGCTCTATCCGATAGTGCAACATGCTGAGCTGCACCATGGTGCTGCATATGAATTTTACAATCTATCGGTTGAATTTGGGCCTGGTCGTGATGGCCAGCAAACTCAGATGGAGATGAATGTACCGCAGTTGAGGCCAGAAAATGGGGTTGATGTATCAGCTCCAGGTAGGAGTGAACATGAAATTGCTGGGGGAGTATTGCACCATTATGTGAAAGACCTATTCCATAATGAGCAAGATAGAGCTGTTCATAATCCCTTTGGTTCTCCGACAAGTGATCCGTCATTTTATGGTGGATGTCACAGCCCCTTTGAGCTTCCATTTGATGGTACAAGTGCACTAGAGGAACTACTTGATGATGACTTGATAGAGTACTTTGGAGCTTAGCTTGGAAAATTTGAGATGTCAGAGAATAGATTTGTAAGTAAACTTTTTCTCTTCAACCCCCTGTTTCATCTATGAATGATTCATAATTTGGTCTCGGGCAATTTATTTGATGTTGATTTTGCAATAACTGTGAAATTATGCATCATTACTTACCTGGATGGAGGAATTTCTGTTATCCGTTGTCTTAGTCTTTCTAGTACAGGTGTTATCATTTGAACATGCAAAGACTGTAAGTCAAGTCAAATTTTCTAATTTAGTTTTGTTCATCTTGTTTCAAAGAAGACAAACAAAAACATGATTTTTTGTGTCATATTCCCGGGGATCCCTGAATGGTAATTGCCATGAAGGGCTTCATGTAACTGTTTCAATTTTAGAAACCATTCACGTGACAAACTTGTGACATTTTCCTTGCTTCCTTTGGACAAAATAACTCATTAGTTAATATATTTCTTTCCTTGTAAATGAATTTCCATCTGTATATATTTATTATTACACAACCTATGATTTCTCATCACCTCCAACACTACTCCCCTTACTAATGACATCAGCTGCAGCTTTTGATTATTTGTGTTATCTTCAATGTTTTTGCATTTGTATAGGGCTAGTTTATTGCAGAATAGATGCTTTTTGAGCTTTGGATTATTGTGTAGGACATAGCTAAATTAGATTAGAGCCTTTTCTTAGGGTTACTTCTTAAAGAATCCAATTTTTGCTTGTAAATATGGATTACTTTATTCAAGTTCTTATACAATATTTTGCTTCCCTGGGTTGCTTAAGGCCTCGAAACCATAATTCCTTCCTAAATGCTTCCTGATCAGTGCACCCAAAGTAAACCACACCCATGTAAAAGGTAGGGAAAAAAAACGATCAGGTGAGGGTGGGGTGGGGAAAGAGGGAGCAAGGAAGGAAAACAAAATTTTGGACTTTGGTGATATTTTACAATTTTTGAATGATCTTTAAAATTAGAATCTTTAAGCAAGGCTATACGAAGAGGGAGGAAAGGAAAAATAAGAATCTGAACCTTTATGATATTCTACAATTTCTCAATGTGCTTCAAAAAGCAAGGCCATCTGAGCTCCAAATGGAGATTTTAATCAATCCCCATTCCATAGATTTGTCATTTGTTTGACACTCGTGAGTGGGTTCCCTTATTGGCAATAAAACTTTTGTCTGCTTATGTAATCTCAAATTTAGGATGGGATACAGTCTGATTAAATATTAGTCCTTTCTTTATATTTATCATAGTGAAAAGAAGTGATGAATTGGGTGTGTTAATGGGATGACAAAGCCATTTATCAATAAATGTTTGTTAAGTTGGGCTATGGGGAGAGACAGACAAAGACTGAGTGACAGAATAATTGGAGGCTTGGGGCTCAGGCAGTTGATGTCTGAAAGAGAGGGCTTAAGGTTTCTTTGTGTAACTAGTTGTAAATGTTCCATAAAATAGCATATTACGTCTAATGATCTGATAACATTTTTTAACTCAAAACTATGGTTTACCACTTGAACTGGAGAGCAAATAGATTAAGTGTGAATATTGAGGGAATCAAAGCTTGAGTTCTCTTAAGAGATTTTGGCTGTTTGCACTGCACTGCTATTGCTTCGAGTATTAATCCCCACAGAGAAAGAAAATTGTGCTGTTTGTTGTAATCATATAGGAATAAAAAGTTCCATGGTCAGTCTGCATAGTTAGGGAAATCTCAGATGAGGCAAGGACCTGCGAATGGTAGTTAAATTATTAGTAACTTGAGAACGAATTCATACATAATAAGATTTGTGAAGCATGGTGCTCCGAGTTTTGGTTATCTTTGTGTTGCTCATATCAAAACACTAATATTGACAATGCGGTTTCGTCTAGTGAGATTGCCTTGTTGCGAATGATTCAGGTTCGCCAAACTAAGGTTCTTTTACCCTTTTTTTTTTTTTTTTTGTACATATGATCTTGGGTTATCTGCATTTAGCCACTATCTTTTGGAATGAAAAAAAGTTCTTCATGGAAGGAATCAAGTTGGCTTAGCCTTTTGCGAAATGTTTGTCATCTACATCTTCGTGGTTTTGTTTTAGGATGGTTTCAAAATCTTTCATATGGTTTTAACATTTATCCCCTGAAATGTATCCAAACTTAACTTGCAAGCTTTGTAACATCTTTCCAACTTAGAGTAAGGTTTTATTTAGACTCGATAAATACAATTAGGTAACATTATATAAAAATAATAATAAAAAAAATATAAAACTTGTGTAGTGACATTATATAAAAATAATAATAAAAAAACACGAAATTTATACGGTTTAAAATTAAAAAAAAAAAGACAATATGAGTTTGGTAAAAATAAAAAAAAATTGTATTTGGTATATTCATATGAATTGTGGTATAATAAATTTTGTAATTTACATGTATTAAATATGAAATAAATAAATATAAATACAATTTAGTTTTATTGCTATTCTCCTACTTATTTATATGATCTCAAAAATTTTTTGTTAGATGTTTAAAAAAAAAAAAGATTAACATGCAAAATGCCGTTTGAATTATACATATTTTTATCTAAAAAAATAAAATTTTTACTTTGAAACTTATTTCACTGAACACTTCGATATTTCATACTGTCATGGACAGTTGGTATGGGAGCCAGAGGGCCCTTCGCCCCCTCCGAAAATTTTTGAAACACTCTTCAGCATGTACATAAATTTATATTAAACCAATTTAAATTGATCATCTAAATTACAAATGTTAATTTTATTATTTTTTGTGTTTTACAACTTAATTTTATGTATTGCATTTTAATAAATATTCAAATTTCATTGATATTTGTTAATTTAATTTATCTAGCAGTTATTATTTATAAATTTTTAAAGTTAAGCGATTTGTCATATGTTTTAAATCACAATCAAATAAATTTAACATAGTCAAATTAACTTTTCAATTTTTTCAATAAAATTCATGTTTTCAATCAGCACCAAATCCAAATGTGTATATATATATATATATATTTATTTATTTATTTATTTATTTATTTGATATAAGAGAAGTCAAAGTTTAAGAAATTTTAGGAAAATGGAGATTTGGCTTATTATAATTCTTCTCCGTATCATTTTCTACTTTTTTTTTTTTTTAATTTTTATCGCATGCCGCAATTTCTTTTTCAAAAAAGGAAAAAATATTGGAACTAGTTTACAAAAAGATAAAAAAACATTACAACATTTAGTCTCAAAATTCATCTTCATTCTTTTAAAAATATATTTAATTTTCTTATTTTGATAAAATATTTAATGATTGATTTATTCATATTTTTTTATTTTAATTTTAAATTACCAAAAAAAATTTATAATTTATTGACAGATCATGTAATTCATAATTTTATGGATAGTTGTAAATATTAAAAGAATAATGTTGTTATAATAATATTTTTTTTTATAATTTTATAAATTTATCGTATTTTTATTAATATATTGTTTATATATATATAGATATATATTAAAAATATGATAAAATATACCTGAAGGAAAAATAAGATAAACTATATACTATATTATGAGTTGGCCTTCTCAAATTATATATAAAAATCTATCACTATATACTGTTAAATAGTTGACATAATAATCTTGGTATCTAATAAATTCATATAAGTTATCATAAATAACTAATCATTATTACGTAAAAAAATTATTTTTCTCTCTTCCTTTTTTTTCTTATTTAATCCCAAAAAGATGACCCCTAAGCTTCTTTGTCATAGCCTCCAAACAACATGACATGGAATGTCCAATTTACCCCTGATAGAAGGCCGAGGTAGCCGCCAATTCTTACGGGCATCAACGTAATTGCGTGATTTGGCAGGACAGGAACCAATTGAATAATGCAGGGCAAATAGTAGTGTAACGCCGCCATCCACCATGCGAGGATGTCTGCCCCGACACGTGCCATCCTGAAGAGGGCTTTTCTTACCTAGGAACAAATAAGTTGCCGCCCTTCATGGATTTCTCTTGTCATTCTTACCCTTCGTCGTTTCAAGACATAATTGTAGGATAAAAGTGTCTTTTCAAACATTAGACATTTCTACACCATGCCTATAAATAATAATAATAATATTACTGTGAAAATGAATGCTATCGTATTTTATTTATCAAGAACTAGAAATTTATCCGTTGGTCTTGGTCATTAAGATTGGAATTTCAAATTATCTGTGATGACAACTTTCCTTGAAATTTTCTTTTCAAATAAAAAAAAATCCCTATGTTCAAAATTTTTATTTATAGGGAAGAGTATTTGGTGAGGGTCACATTTGAATTTTGACTCTCATTAAAAGCATGAATCATGAATATATAATTTTTTTTTTATATATTTGGTAAGGGTTATTGTTGAGTTTCTGTAGTCATTAGGTTCAATATTTTTTATACTAATACTTCTAATATTTTTTTTAAAACAATACTTTTCTAAATTTTAATTATTCATTATTGGCAAAAATATAGATTCTTGAATACTGACTTTTACTAATTTCACACTTAATTATAATTTTTCTCTCTTCTATTTTTCTTGTGCTTTTTTAAATTTTATCCGCAATTAACCATTTATTTATTTATTTTTTTAAAAAGTAATAAAACTGAAATTAGTGAAAACTATTTAGTGGGATCAGTGAGTCTGACCCTCACTAATCCATTCAAATTCATTTTGCCTCTTGCACTCTGCATCGCTTGAAGGAACTTCACATTTAATGAGACCCAACTTAAGTTCACACGTGTGAACGTGTGATCCTGACATAGAAAATTACCTTTAGAGAGGGTCACGCGTGATTGACGCCTAGGAAATGATTTTAATAAGGGTCAACCGTCATATATTTCTTGTAGTGGAATTAATGTATTTCTTTTTTATCAAATTCCAGAAACATAAGAAGAATCATAATTATACGGAACCAACAAATCCAAAAAGAAAAAGAATGGTAATAATATAATATTGCACTGTTGGTATTTAATTTATCTCATTTTCTATATAAACGGCAACCAAAGGAGAAAATTCTTCAAAAAAACAAAAGGCGAAGAGAAGCAGCGAAGGGCATTGAGTTTGGCTGCCTTGTCCCAGGGTTGGTCACTTTGCCCTTCTTTGGTTTTTTTTTTTTTTTTTGTTCCTCACTTATTTCTTCTGAGTCTTACCTTTTTCATGCGACTGTTTAGATTTTTCAGCCTAAATTTATCAGTTGCATGAAAAGGTAAGATCCAAAACGGAATAAATAAGTGAGAAAAAAAAAATTCAAAGAGGGTCAAAACCCAAATCTGCCTTGCCTTCATTTTCCAAATCTTGCAAGCAAGAGTTTGACAAGGCAGCCAAACTCACTTGTGCTCTCCATTTCTTTACAGTGAAGTGATAGCGAGCAAGAACCAGAATGCTTCGGAAAAATAATAAAGGTTTGAGGCCATCTCTATTATTATTTATTCCACCTTCCTAACCCAACTTTCAGTCATATAAAATATGCAATTCGATGCATGGATGTCTCATAATTTGCAATTATCTTTGAATTTATATAGCAAGTGAGAGGAAAGGGCAAGGAATACCCTGTCGGAGGAAAAGCCCATGACTCTTGGAGGAAGAGGCTCATTATAAACCCTATTTTTCTCATCCCTTGATTCCCTTCGGATCAATTTATTGTAAAATTTTTAGTTATATATATATATATATATATACTGTCTTTTTTAATTATTAATTTTATTAGATCCAATAGATAAAATTAAATTATTTTTTAAATTTGTTTCTCTCATTAGATTTAAAATTAATTAAATCAATTTAAGATTACCTTGTTCTAAATAAATAACATAACATATAATTATTTTTATCCCCATTTAGTGGAATTGTTCAATTTGAGATTATTGGCCATCAATAATGAGACAAGTAAGATGGCA